GGGTCATCCAGGGCAGGGGGCGGCAGATGCTGCAGCAGCGGCTGCACAGGAGGCGGCGGGAGGCGCTGGTGAGCTACGCCATCCGGGAGAGGGCGGTGGTCAAGCTCCAGTCTTTGGTCCGCATGTGGCGCGTCCACTGGCGATACTGCCAGGTGCTCAACGCCATCTACGTCATCCGTGGCCACTGGCAGAGCCACCACTGCCAGACCTGCGCGCTCCTCCGGGGACACTGCGTGGTCACAGCCACCCACCTGCAGTTCCACATCGAGATCACCAACCCCTGAGGCCGCGGGGCAGGGACACGGGGCCTCTGTCCCCAGTAAAGGTCTGACCTGATGTGCTGTCGCGTGGTCACCCCCAGGGAATAGAAAGGTTAGGACGCGGGCCTGCCGCCGCCTCTCCTTCCCGGGAAAACAGCTCCTGTGAGGTCCCCGCTGCCTCCCTTGAGGCCCCGGTTCTGAACCAACGATGAACGGATGCTGCTGACTCGGTTATCAGACAGAAACTGTGGTCCAGGTCTACGCCGACACATGACAGAGCCAGGCCCCAGCCCCCGCCCCCCCAGGATGTGAGGGACACCCCTCCTGTTGCCTGTGGGGTCCTCTGCCCAGGAGAATGGGCTCCGGGCCCCCCTGTCAGCCTGGCGCCAGGACACGCCGACAAGGTCTCTCTGGCCAGAACCGGGGAAAACGCCAACACCTGGCTGACTCCTGGGCGCAGGTGACAGCCGCAGGGAAGGGCAGGCGCCGGCCTCTGTGGGGCGGGGCACTGGGCATGCTGACGGGCAGGTGGGAACCCGGGCACTGGTAGGAAACGAGTTCGAGGCCCTTCATCTGCACCCACAATCCTCACCTGGACCCCTCTCCCCGCGGCCGAGCAGCGGGCGGATTCCTCTGTATTCCCCACACCCCTGCCTTGTCTCCATTCCCGCTGATCTCACCCTCAGCCAAGGTGTCCCCCCGTGTCCCCCAACTCCTATGTCTGACGACCCTTTGGATGCTCCCCGGCCACCCGCCGCTGGTCACCGTCAACAGGCTGCTCCGTAGAGCGCTGTGATGTCGGCCTCTGTGCTGTCCTAGCTGCAGCCGCTAGTCGCGCGTGGCTGTGGAGGACTGTAAATGCGCCTGCTGCTGCCCGAGCCGGTGTGGCTCAGTGGACGGAGCGTCAGCCTGCGGACTGAAGGGTCCCAGGCTCGATTCCCGGTCAAGGGCACCTATCTCGGTTGCAGGCTCCACCCCAGCCCCGGTCAGGGCATGTGCAGGAGGCAGCCAGTCAATGTGTGTCTCTCACAGGATGTGTCTCTCTCTCTGTCTCTCCTCCTCCCTTCCACTCTCTCTAAAAAAAATCAATGGGAAAATATTCTTGGGTGAGGATTAACAGCAGCAACATGTGCCTAGTAGTGCAGCTAAAGGACTGAATTTTTTAAGTTTTGTTTCATTTAAATTAAGTTTCAATAGCTACTAACCATGCCATCGGGCGGCGCAGCGCTAGACCCTCCGTTACCCGCCCTTCCCTCTTGCCCCGATGGCTTTTCCTAGAGTTGCATTCTCGGATTCCTTTCGTTTCTCTTTCCTGTTTACCTTTCAAATACTCCCAACAGGATGGAAAATGGTACAGATGCCACGGAAATTGGCAGAGCAGTTCCTCAAAAAATTAAAAGTAGGATTATACGGCCCCGGCCGGCATGGCTCCGTGGTTGAGCATATTAACCTGTGCACCAGGAGGTCACAGTTCAACTCCTGGTCAGGGCACATGCCCGGGTTGTGAGCTTGGTTTCCCAGTAGGGGGCGTACAGGAGGCAGCCGATCCATGACTCTCACTGATGTTTCTATCTCCCTCTTCTCCCATCCTCTCTGAAATCAATAAAAATACATTGTGAAAGAAATTGAATTATCTGGCCCAGCCATTCCACTTGTGGGTACGTACCCACAAAGATCTAACGCGGGGCGGACAGAGTGTGGGCTCTGCCCCGAGCGGAGAGGAGCCAGCCGAGGAAGGAAGGGATGCGGACACAGACCAGGCAGGGTGAGCCGCGAAGACACTGTGCCAAGGGAAAGCAGTCGGTCACAGGACACACACTGAGGGTTCCACTCGTGTGAGGCATTTGATCACTGAATTTCACAGGTAGGAAAGGCAGCATAGCAGATCCCAGGGGCTGGGAGCGGCGAGGGTGGAGAATGCTTCCTAGAGTTTCAGTTCTGCAAGACGCATAACATCCTGGATACGGATGGCTGACCATTTCAATAACAAAGTGAATATAACCAATGCCAGTGAGCTGTCTACTGAAAATGGTAAATGTTGCCCTAACCGGTTTGGCTCAGTGGATGGAGCGTCGGCCTGCGGACTGAAGGGTCCCGGGTTCGATTCCGGTCGGGGGCATGTACCTGGGTTGCGGGCACATCCCCAGTAGGAGATGTGCAAGAGGCAGCTGATTGATGTTTCTCTCTCATCGATGTTTCTAACTCTCTATCCCTCTCCCTTCCTCTCTGTAAAAAATCAATAAAATATATTTTTTTAAAAAATGGTAAATGTTGCGTGGCTCAGGGGTTGAGCGTCAACGTAGGAGCCAGGAGGTCACGGTTCCATTCCGGGTCAGGCCACATGCCTGGGTTGCAGGCTCGATCCCCAGTTTGGGGAGCATGCAGGAGGCAGCCGATTAGTGATTCTCATCATTGATGTTTCTATCTCTCTCTTCCTCTCCCTTCCTCTCACTCTAAAAATCAACTTAAAAAAATTTTTTTTAAATGGTAAATGTTATGTATATTTTACCACAATTTTAAAAGAGTATATTTTAAAAGATGATACAGGTTGTAAAATGACTGACCATGCCATTTATACAGACCCCATGGGGAAGGGGTGTCCCTGGTTGGCCAACTTGGTGCAGCCCCAACACTCCTGCCCAGGGCAGACATTGCTAATCCATCCCTGGCCCTGCTCCTCCAGCCCCAGGGGCTCACCCTCCTCCACACAGGACCCTGCCCCCCAGAACCCCGGCCGCTGCCTGGGAGCTGATATAGGAGACGCCCGTATTTGCCGCCATTAGCTCGACGACCCCCTTGAAATGGATCTGACAGAGCCGGGGACACGGGAATTATAGATCTGACCTGTCCTTTATTGGGAGAGGGATGGACTGACGTATTTTGTAAACCTGCGAACCCAAAGAGATTTCGAGGTGCAGGTTCAGCTGCTTTTCTTTCATGTCGTAATTGCCCCGAATGCAGCCCCTGGTGTGGCAGCTGTGCCAGCGCCAGTACAGCTGGATGATGCGGGCGGCGTGCAGGACGCGGCAGTAGCGGAGGCGGACGCGCCACATGCGGACCCAGGACTGCAGCCTGACGGCCGCCCACTCCCTCCGCGAGTACTCCTGGAGGGCTGCCCAGCGCCCCTCCTCGTGCCGACCGGCCAGCACCCGCCTCCACCAGCGCTGGATGGTGCAGGCGGTGAGCGCGGCGTGCAGCAGCACCCGGCGCACCAGGGAGCCCCGCCACCAGGCCTGGATGGACACGGCCGCCGCCTGAGCTGCCGCCTCCTCGGGGGTCTCTGCCTGAGGCGTCGGCATGATCTTCCGCCTCCCGGTTGGTTCTGAGGAAGCTTGTCAGGAGGAAAAACAGGGACACTTAGGAAACTCGCGTTTCCGCCCTCAGGTGCGCCAGGAAGGCGCCCCCATCCTCTAGCAACAGACACCCCTGCCCCGGCTGGTGTGGCTCAGTGGATAGAGCATCAGCCTGTGGACTGGAGGGTCTCAAGTTCGATTCTGGTCAAGGGCACAGGTCCCGGTTAGGGGCTCAATCCCCAGTGGGGGGTGTGCAGGAGGCAGCCGATCAATGATTCTCTCTCTCCCTCTCCCTTCCTATCTGAAATAAAAATATTTTTTTAAAAGAGCTTAAACCCTAGTAAAGACATCAGTACAAAGTTCCACGTGCACACAGTGCACACATCACACATATCACACGTGCACACATCACACATGCACACATCACACACGTCACGCATGCACACACAGTGCACACATATCACATGCACACATGTGCACACGTCACACACATCACACATGCACACACGTGCACATATGCGCACACATACGCTCCAGCCCCAGTCTTCCTGCACATTGGCCTTTGCATTCCCCACACACAGTCCCCGCCTTGTAGCTCCCAACCCCATGGGCTCTGGGTTCACACGCTTTGGCCCCCTCCCCAGCACAAGCACACA